AGTTTCAATTTCCAAGACCCTCAAATAGGGTGATAATATAGTATAGGTCATAACCCGTGGGTACCCTCTTTGAAAATATACTTACTTTATATATAAAGTCAAGTAGTCGGCCCGAAGACCCATGTTTTCTTTGAAAACGTTCAACCCTTTCCCCGTGACTTCAAGTCACGCCCATCTATATTTGTTTACCATGCTAGAGGCTTCCTCTAGTCATGTTCTACCGTGCTAGAGGCTTACTCTAGTCACTACATTCGGTGTTAGAGGCTTCCTCTAATCACCTTACATACTTTGTGCTGGAGGCTTCCTCCAGTCACATTAGATTATGCTAGAGGCTTCCTCTAGTCATCCTACTCTACGCTAGAGGCTTACTCTAGTCGTCCTACACGAATGCTGGAGGCTTCCTCCAGTCATTCTTCATCGTGCTAGAGGCTTCCTCTAGTCACGAAACTAATTCACCCTACACGAATGCTGGAGGCTTCCTCCAGTCATTCTTCATCGTGCTAGAGGCTTCCTCTAGTCACGATACTAACTCACTAGCAATTTCTATGCCTAGAGTTTCTCAATCTTGAGTAGCCAAGGAGGCCTACTCCTAATGTAACTTAGTGGTTACCCATTTCTACCTTAAGACATCTCAATAGACTACTTAAGGTGCATCTTTCACAATCCAAGCCCTTAGGATTTATTCTATCACTTTTTATACAACATTCCCGATTAGTACATTTAATACTAATCCATTAATCCTTGAACATCCAAACTCTTTACTATATAATTATAAAGCCCAATTCCTATGGGTTTTCCAACTCCATATATGTTTTAATCTCAATATCAAAAATATCACTTTTATCCATTCATGATTTCTATCATGAAGTAAAAGCATATTTTATCACAAATATTTCATGGTTTATACTATCATTATACCATCATAACTATAATGCATCATCATACACAATTTTCTCATAAATTTATATGGTATGCATCTTTTATTTACAAACCATGATATTACCATTTAGGCATTATTAATCATTAATAATCCATGAAAATCACATTTAATTACTTTAGGTAATCTTATGAAATTAACCAAAGATTATAAGCAATATAGTCAGCCATCCTCACCTTATGGAGTGCTGAATTAGTTGCCTTTGTTAAGCCCTCCGATCAATCCCCGTTCCAAACCGATCGAAAGTAAAATTCTGGGCAGAAGGTGAAAGCCGGGCGGCTTTCACGAAAGCTGGGCGGCTTTCGTGGTCTGCAACTACGAACAACCTCCTACACTTGGCGGTTTCCGGCGGTTTCAACTCCTATCGATTCCACGACTCTTCTAAGTTAAATACCACCACTTTATAACAATATTACACACTTTTAAACGTGTAAAACTCATGGTTTAATCCACCATATGATTTTCTTAACGTCATACGAAAATAAACTAGCTAGAAGTGTTTGTTGAGTTCTTACCTCCAACACACCTCCTTTCTCCTTGGGTTTTCCTCCTCCAACAATGGAGTTGTGAGAGCTTTTTCTCCTGTGCTTCTACCCCTTTTGCTTGGCCGAGAGAGAGCAAGGAGAATAGATGATAGATGCCTTCTCAATCCACAAATGATTGTGAGACAAAGGCATGAGCCTTTTTTGTCTCAAGGGGGCTTCCTATCTCCATCATCCGCAGCTTCCCCCTCCCCCATGTCCCACTCCCACTCATTTGAGTCTAATTAGTGTGTAGAATACCCCAAGTGGGTGTAGAAAGTTCCTCCCAATTATTCCCGCTATTTTTGGCAGGTTGGGCCAAAATAGCACTCGGGTTGTCCAAATATTTTTATCAACTTCGGTTGGCGTTTTATTGGACTCCTATAATTTTATTATGATGCCCCAACTAAATATTTGGTAGCCCATTCTCATATAATGGACCCGTTATATAATTTAATTAATCATGCATTAATTAAATACACCGATCAATTACACGAATTTTATTCGCTAGGAAAATCAAATACATATCGTCTTTAAATTTCAAGTACAATCGGGTGCGGTGTCACACATATGATAGAATGCTTCAGGAAACCAAGCTTGGAGAAACACTTGATGAAAGTTCTATATAACTATAGTGTATAGGCTTTGGCCATATTCAGTAATTAATTAAATAAATTCACACTGGAATAGTATTCCTATAACCACCACCTTCCTTGTTATCAGCAGGTTCATCCAAAATTTTAAACTTACAGATGTGCACACATACATCACGAAATTAAAGTGAACAACAACAGTAAAACAAAAGCAGTTTTCTTAATTTATTTGTGTTGAATAAATGACATAGTTGTCTACCATATTTTGAATGTGATCTATAATTTCAAATTAAAGTAAGCCTCGTCTCTTAGAGATCCTTTTAACTAGGTTACCTGGTGCGGTAGTGGTTTGTGGGGTGTCTAAACACTTTAGTTTGGGGCGACCCATTTGGGGTAGGTTTAGGTACAGTTTTCTAACATATATGGATTGAAAAAAGAGGGTTGTTGAGCCTTAACCTATAAGTTGTTGGCGTATAATTCTCTGCATTCTTTACCATTTTAAACCGTTGTTGATGCATAATTTATAAGCAATGTCTGCATTTTAGTATATATTTCCGATTGATAACTTTGATAATGAACCACACAGCCATATCTTGGTCCTCTTGAATGACCCTAGCTATCACATGTGATTTAAATACACACTCAAAAACTATTTAATGAAGGCATAACATATGAAGTTAAAGGAAGAGTGAGGCTAAAAAGGAAATAAAAAAAAGAAATCGGGCAAATCTGTAATTATCAGAAAACGAGTAATAGAAAACCCGTTGTAAACGGTCCTATCTCCAAGACTCTTCAAAATATAATTTAAAGACATGCTCTCTTGATGTCTGACAAGGTCCCCCACCATCAAGCCACAACAAACATAGTTGTTGATATAATCAAAAACCACTATCATCAACATTACTCGTAATGTTGTGTATGTTATTTTAGGTTAATCGTGTTACTCAATTTGAGTTTGAAGTGGTGGACAAAACATCTACAAGTTTTGTTGTTGTGGACCATTACGCTTACTGATGCACGTTAAACTAAAAACAATTGATGATAGTGCAACACGCTTTCCCCCCACATAGCATAGGCAAAGCATCACGTTTCGATTGCACCGGCAGGATGACAGAACTTGTAGCAACGCATCCCCAAGGTCCAATAATCCCACTAGCACCTACCAGCCTCAACTATGCAGCATATTGTTGACAAGGGTCAAACCTGTAACTTGGCTCTAATACCATTTCTGGATCACTGCGCTTACTGCTATACTAAAAGCACCCACTGATAGTGTAACCTTCCCAGGTTCAATACTCAATGAAGTGAGTTTCATCTCAGTTTATCTCATGCCCCCTCAGTCCCCCCCCCCCCTCCCCCCCCCCCCCCCCGGTTAAAAAAAAGTGTAGCACACCTTCCCCCACGTATAGAACATGTGAAGCGCCACATTTCGATTATACCGACAAGGTGGCATAACTGTTGGCACTGCATCCCCATGGCCCAACAGTTGTTAATCTTTAAGAGAAAACATCTCTCATGTTGTGTGTTTCAATTAGAGCAACTCATACGCATTTATGGTGTTGCAGCAGTTGGTCAGTGTTGATGATTGTCATGTTGTGACTAGATCTCAGTGTTTTACTTCACACTTGAGTGAGTTACTATTTATAGTGGGGGTGGTGCATCCTATTGGTTGTTTCTTTGACTCGGACTTTCCTGATTATATGCAATTCATAACGTGCAAGCCACCTACATGCATCAAATTCCAACCCAACAAACTCAAAGAAGAAGTGTTTGCCTTTAGCTACAAAATTTTCTTTTTGTGAGCGGCAATGGTGTTCGTGGTGTAACAAAGGCGGGCACAATGAGATGCCTTGTAGGAATCCTATTCCAGTCCATAGTTATTAAATTCACAATGTCCTTTCACTTCCAATTTCTTTCATCAAATAAGTGTTGTGAGACTTTTAGTTTTTTTGTGCTCACATTATTTAATTGTCATGGTTTATCAAAAAATGGAGCTTATATTAGTTGTAATGGTTTATATTGAAATTGGATATCATGTTATTGTTTTGTTCGTACCCAAGTTTAATGAGTAATAGTTTTTTCAAAAACTAGTAGACATCTTTAGAATTAATGTCTTTTTATCATCTGATAATTGGCCGTCTCATTGGTATATATTTAATGCCTACACAAAAATGCATTTAACATATAAAATTTGTCAACTCAATACGCTTTCCATTTGTTCCATTATCTTCAAGTCAAATTTTCGATTTAATATGGTTGGTCTTATGGGGGGATCAGTCACACCCTTTGATTCGAGGCATAACCCTTTAATTAGTCCTGACCTCTGGCACCACGATGTGGTGCAGCCTCTCACGTCCATCCACCGCTCAATAATGGGGTTCTGCACTGCTGTAGTGAGTTGTAGGGTGCTCAAGAGGAATCTACTTCTACTTGGTTACTATGGAGCGATGTGTTAAATACACTTTGTCCACCTCTTTATCACCAATTGAATTCAAAAAGGATATGGATGATATTTAACCATAGAACTCTGTTGTTTAGTGAGTGCGGGGGGGGGGGGGGGGGGGGGGCAGGAAATCTCAAGGATGGGTGATCCACTGGAAATGCTTGTAAAATTGAGCGAATTGATCTTACAAATATGTAAGTAGAACCGTTGTTTTAGTTGTCCACGTTTAACACTCATATGTTTTAAAGTCCATCGATACTTTAAGAGCTTTTACCTCTAAAGCTATAACTAATTTGTGTACTTACTTTAATTACTTGTAGTCATTTAAACTCTATATTTATTTTATTAAAGACTTACACTCAAATGTTTGAAATGTTGACTGTAACACTTATTTAAGAACAGAGGTAGTATATTACAATTTAAAGTGAACTCAACACGAAATAATAATAAAAAATTAATGGTCATCTTGTTTGAGACAGAAAAGAATATTATATATTATCATATACCCATATTTCAAAACAAATAACTCATACATAACAAAAATATTTAATGAACAAAAGAAGGAAGTTGTACATCTTAGACCACCTACTAATTCATATATATTACAAACAATCTTAGTCCACCTGCTTTCTTCATGACGCATGCATCACCAGCACAATAGTCATTATGCTACGTATGATGACACCATCCTTGATTTAGTTGCTAATCAAAGAGCTCTAGTTTAGTTATTTATATGATATATTAAAACTCTAATTACCATACACCAATGAATCCCCTCAATATCATGACAGAAAACACGAAGAAACATTAAGAAAGCAATACTTTTAGTTATAACCTTCAGCTTGTTGAATGAACTATCCATGACTCTCAATACTTCAAGAGGATAAAATTGATCAGTGGAATCCGATTACAATTATGAGGGAGCTGAGAAGACGAGAGACAGAAACGGCAGCTCCAATTTTGAAGCAAAACTTTCCTCAGAAAGCTCAACCTTCTTTGGAATCCGATATCAATTCACATGAAGTCAGCCCTCACCATCTGCATCCGGTTTCGCCCTACTTCCCTGTGTACACCGCTGCCTTGATCCAAGATGTGTTGAGGTCGAACGGATTTCCGTTCAATCTTATCCCGAAGAAGGTGAGTAACTATAACTTGTCGGAGACAGGGCTTCTAGAATTATTCCTTGAAGGGCCATGCTGGACCAAGTTCAATTTGACACATCTCACGACAGTCTCACCAGCACCAAAGGCTTGAAGGGTTGTGGCTATCTGTACTATAGAGTATGTGGTCAGGACCAATCGCTCTCACAACAGTCTTATCGGCACCAAAGGCTTTCTCCCCAGGAAGAGCTCTTCGTTTAGCTCCCAGTCAAAGGCGTCATCGGCCACGGTCCCTTAAAATTATGTCTTTGGAAAGTTATTATGATTATGTCTTATATGAGTAATTTGACGGCACTAAAGTCATGTGTTTCAAAATAAATTCCACTACCAGCACTAACTATAGTAGTATAATGTAGTAGAGTTTGTATCTACAGGGAAATATATTTCTTCTTATATGAAATTGTCACAAAAGGGGAGTTTGATTTTTTATTTGAGAAGTATTTTAAACACTAAGATGAATGATTTATGTCATTATAATTAAATGAGACAAGGGTTTGGTTTTACTACTTTCCAGTTGTTGAAATGTTTATTGATCCCGATTATTTCTTCAACTATCCCTTCTCGAATATTCAATCATGGAGTATCTTCACTTCATCAAGGATAACTACTTATGAGATGATCCATGATTAATTAACCACTGCTTTGTTGATTGTTTTAGTAGCATTTAATGTTAAAGCGTTTACGAGAAGTACTTATGAGAACTACCCCCCCGCTTTCACCAGGAATTTCACTCCTAGTACTTGGGGTAAAATCAGTGCCCCCACTTCCGACCAGGAATTTCACTACTAGCACTTAGGGTAAAATCAGTGCCCCTAACCTGTATAAAAATTATCAGTATTAGATAATTAAGATACTACTACCTCCGTCCCGTTGAAAGGTTCCCATGGCAAAACGGCACGGTTATTTAGACAATAATTAAATAAGATAGTTCGAGTATATTTTGAGAAATAATTTTAATAGGTATATACTATAATGAGGTCAGTATTGATAATTGTGATGTTATAAATGTATTATTTTTAATATTCAATGATTAATTTGTCATTTAAGGTTGTTAATTGTTTCCTAAAATTGAAATGAGAACCTCTATATGCGACGTCCAAAAAAGGAAACTGGGAATCTCTCTATGGGACGGAGGTAGTAAAATGTTACAGTTATATGAATTAAAAGTTAATACACAATATTTAAATTTTAGCTGAATTAAAATAAAAGATATAAATTTCTCAAAAAAGAAGAAAAAAATAGTTAAGGGTTGAAAACGAAAAGTAACGCAAAAAGTTAAAATTTTAAAAGTAACAAGTAAAAGTTTAAAAAAAAAATCCACTAATAACTCACTAATACTCTAGAATCCAAAAGGGGGAAAACCTCCAAAAACTAAACCCTCACGGATGGTTTACACACTGGCCTCTCTCTTTGTGGACTTGTCGCTGCCTTGCTAAATTGCCGCTGCAGCGCCCGCATCGCCCAATGGCGCCTTCATTTGTAAGTTTCTTTCAAATTTATTTCTGTGCCTGCAACTTTTTTAATTTCACTCAATTGCACGATTGGCCATTGGGGATTATTTTAAAAATTATAATTTTTAATAATCAATTAATCAAGAATATTGGGGATTGCTTGTTTACTTGAAATTTGATAGTTTGAATTTGTGAATGCGCCCTAATTAGGGATTAGGGCTCTATTTGTAAGGGTTTTTTCAAATTTTAGTGAAATAATTAGGATGCAAAATTGCTTTAATTAGACTTCAATTTATTTGTCTTTTTTATTAGGAATATGAGTTTGGATAACTTTGTAATTCGGAGTAAGAGGTCTTTAACTCGAGGAGATAGTTCTTCGAACGTTCCTAATCAGTCTATCTCATGCGATGCAAATGTTGTTGTTTCGAATGTAAGCATTGTCCGAGATGAGTCTAATGACATTAGGGGAGACAAAAGAACTCGCACAGATAGTACGTGTGAGTGAGATATCATTAGTAATCACGCATTATGAGAGCTAATCATTGAATATGAGCCTCGAGTAAGAGATGAAGAGATGAGAGCGTATGTCGTTAAAGGTGCTTATCAACCATTGTCTCATGATTTTCCACGAACTTTATTTGAAAAAAAATGATATGTTTTCGAGCATAGTGATTTGAAAATTGGGAATGGTTGGAATATAGTGTTTCTAAAAATGTTGCATTTTGCTTTTGGTGTTACCTTTTCCATGGGGTAGAAGGGAGGAGATTTGGAGATGATGTATTTGTGAGGAACAGATTTCGTAATTGGAAGAAAAGTCCGGAAAAGTTTAGAGCCCATGTAGGAGTTGTAAATAGTGCACACAATGATGCCAGAACACGATTTTTTTGCTTTCAAGCATCAAAAGCAAAGCCTTTCAAGAAGTGTGGCTTCAGGAATACAAACATTAGCTGCTGCATACCGCATTCGTTTGAATGCAAATGTGGATTGTGCTAGATTTTTTATTTCACAAGGGTTGGCTTTTTGTGGGCATAATGAGAGAGAAACTTCACTTAATAGAGGAAATTTCTTGGAATTGCTTGATTGGTATAGTGCATGCATTATTGATGTTGAGAAGGTGATGAAAGAAAATGCACCATCAACCACCAACTTACTAGTCCTAAGATTCAAAAGGGTATTAATAGTTCTTGTGCATCAGACATAACAAAAGTCATAGTCAAATTAGTTGTATTAGTGACAAACTTTTCTTTGTTGATTGATGAAACTCGTGATAATTATGTGAAAGAGCAAATGTCAATTGTTGTTAGATTTGTAAACAACGGCGGAGTTGTTTTGGAGCGAATCCTTGGAGTTAAACATGTTGTTGTTGACACTACTACACTTTCTTTGAAAAGTGACATTGATGATTTTTTGTTAAGCGCGCATGGATTATCTTTGTCCATAATTAGAGGTCAAGGATTTGATGAATCTTCTAATATGCGAGGTGAGATTAATGGATTGAAGACTTTAATCATGATTGAAAATCCACACGCAAGATGCATTCACTTTTTTGCTCACCAATTGTAATTAGTTGTTGTGGCTGTGGCACAAAAAATAAGTTTGTGACTGACTTTTTTAAATATTTGTCCATGATTACTAACATGGTAGGATCTTCTTGTAAAACAAAAGACGAGTGTCAGCAAAAACAACATGAAGCCATGGTAGAGATGTTAGAAAATGGTGAACTTACAACTGGGAGAGGGTTGAATCAAGAAAGTAGTTTAGGTAGGCCAGGAGCTACACGTTGGGGTACACATCATACAACCAATATTCATATTCTTTCTATGTGGTCTGCTACTATTCAAGTTCTTGATAATATATTGGATGATGGAACTGAACTAAAATCAAGAGGCGCCGCTAGTAGCTTGGTAGAAAAGATGGAGAGTTATCAAGTTGTTTTTATTGCTCACTTGATGAAAAAAGTATCGGGATTGACGAATATAGTGTCACATTTCTTGCAATAAAAAGATCAAAACATTCTCAAGGCTGTGAGCTTACTTAAAAGCACTAAAGCTAAATTTCAAGATTTGAGAGAAAGTGGATGGAATGATCTCTTGGAAGATGGCAATAGCTTTTGTGTCAAGAACGAAATTGACATTCTTAACATGGAAGAGAAGAATCATTGTTCTAGACATGCTCGTCACCCGATAACAAATTATGATCACTTTCGAGTTGATATATTTTGCAAGGTGCTTATTATTATTATTATTATTATTATTATTATTATTATTATTATTATTATTATTATTATTATTATTATTATTATTATTATTATTATTATTATTATTATTATTATTATTATTATTATTATTATTATTATTATTATTATTATTATTATTATTATTATTATTATTATTATTATTATTATTATTATTATTATTATTATTATTATTATTATTATTATTATTATTATTATTATTATTATTATTATTATTATTATTATTATTATTATTATTTTCATTGTAGGTTATTGATCAAATCAGTCTTGAGACGGAGAATCGTTTTAGTGAGTCAAACACAGAATTATTCACTTGTTTAGCATGTCTTGATCCTAGAGATAAGTTCTCCAATTTCTATGAGTTAAAGCTATTGAACCTTGCGGAGTTATATTTATGCGATTTTTCATCTGTTGATCGAATGGAGCTGAAAGAGCAACTCCAGGTGTGGATATATGAAATGAGAACAAATGAATTATTTTCTTTTGTGCAAACTATTGGTGAAGTTTGTAAAATGGTGGTTTAGTTTAAGGTTCACAATTCTTTTCACTTGGTATATCGCCTAGTTGAGTTGGCTTTAATTAGTATGATCAAGACAGATCTTCGCAATAAGATGTGAGATGATTATCTTACAGATTGCTTGATGTGCTACATCGAGAGAGATGTTTTTCGAAGCATTAATAATGTAACTACTATGCAACATTTTCAGAATATGAAAACTCGTAAGCTTCATTTACGAAAGCTGCAGAAATGAACTATTTAATATGTAATTAACTACTCCGTATAATTTATGTTGTTGCCTCACTTTTTACCATTTTTATTACATTTAGTTTGAAATTTTTATCATAGAGTAAGTTTAGTGTCTAGTGTGCCCCGCTCAGACAAATTTATGGGTCAGCCACTGTTAGTAACAGCCCAATGTTAATGTAGAGATATGGGTAGGGGTGAATTAATACCCAAGAAGAGAAGTATAAGAAAACAAGGAGTAACTCACAAGTCACAACTAACATTTAACAAAACGGCCTAACATTTATAATAAAATATTTTAAATTAACATCTAATTTATTTTACGTGAATTGATGGCATGAAAATGATTAACATTTTATCAACCACTATAATTATAGAAAATCATCTCTCACAAAAGTGGAATTTGTGATTTGTTGACTTACATTTATAATATCACATAGAATAATGAATATTCAAAGAATTGAAAACTAAATGAGCCGGTGAAAAATATATTGTAAAATTTGTATTCTTATTTAAATAAATCATGTAAAATGTAAATTATACTCTAGTTTAATTGAAATAAATATAAATACAATGTGTTATTGTCATCGTCAAACATTTTTTCTACCGAGTACAAAATATTATAAATACAAGTATGTTATACACGGTATCAATTAACTTTGTCATAATAAAATTATGAAATGTGTAAAGCTTACAACTACCACTTTTCGATTTGGTTCGGTTCGTTTGGACCAAACCATTTTGCTCATCCCTAAGATAAACCATGAAAATAAATGGTTGCACCATATATATGCAATTAATATATTAACACACGGTATAAAGTAATTAAAAGTAAAAATATAGAGCCCGTTTGGTAGCACGAAAATCGGTTGATTTGGCTCATTCTGCTGAAATTTATGAGGTTCTGGCTGAAGTGACTGCATTGGCTGATTCTGCTGATTTAAGAAAAAATTATTTTTAAAATATATTTTATTAATAAAATAAAGAAAAAATTATATGTAAAAATTGCTCAAATGTCCATTTACGGTAACTTCAATTAATACAGCCAGAAAAGTAACTCAAACCTTACTTTTTCTGCTTATTACACAATTCAGCGCATGAAAGCAAAAGTTATGTGTTTGGTGAAAAAGTTGGTTGATAAGTCTGATAAGCCGAAAAACAGTGTTGTCAAACGGCGTCATAAACACGATCATAATTTTTCTAAATTTTTTTGGAAGAAGGGGGCTTAGATTAAAATCATAGCAGAGGGATTAAAATAACAAAAGAACCACAAGTAATCATCCGCCATTGGGTCAGACTCAGAGTTAATCACCTCTGACAAAGCAATATAACTCGTTGATCTTAAATTGGGCATAATTGAGCCAATGACGGTCACCGCATAACTCTCATCACCCACTCCTAATGTAAAAGTCTTACAATAATAAAAGAAATCAATTGAAAAATAAACAGTATGATCATGAAAGATAAATCGCAAGCAAACAGTAAAATTAAAAAGATGCTTCCAAACCCTAGACTCTCCTGCATTCCACGGCGGCGGTTCAGGAGGGGGACGATCCGTAATAACGACTCCCACCACCGGAAATTCAGCCCTCTTCTCGGTTGCGTCAAGATCTCCGTCAACCTCGTCATCAACATTCAGTTTGCTATCTTTTCCAATTGTCATCTTCTTGTGTCGATCCACAAAAACTTTCATCAAAAATCAGTGAAGCCAAACGCAAATACACTGCCTTCGGTCTTCTTCCTTCCCCTTCCGCCGCCAAAGAGAAACACTGCCTTAGATCTTCTGACTTTGTCCGCCGATCATAATTTTCCTAATTAAAAACCCTGTTCATTAAAACAAGAGTGTTAATTAGTACATGTTCGCTAATTCTGAAATACCGTGTTAATAATAATACTCCCTCCGTTCCAAAATGATATTCCTGTATTTCTTTTTTGGGATGTCCCAAAATGTGATTTTGTTTCCCTTTTTGGAAAGAAAGATGTGGTCCACATCATTTCACCTTTTTCTACTCAAATCTCAACCACAATTTTTACCTTTTCAACCACTTTATTAAAATTTGTGCCCAAAAGAAATGAGACCATCAAATTGGGACGGAGGAGGGAGTAATGCCGTTGCACATTCTTCTTCATTTACATGTCTGCTTCATCATTAAGTTTAGTAAATTAGAATCATTAAGTTCAGTGATTCTCAATAAGCTGAGATTGCTCTATCATTATTCTTCGTTGAAAGACATTGCTTTTTGGCGTGTATTTTTCAAAAGTTACCAATTTGGTCAGCAACATACCGCAACTCTTTCCAAACCAAATTCAGACGTGTGCAATTCAATATATATACTTTATAAAGACGAAACAGTCGTCACATTCTGCCCGCTTCATCAAGTTCGATCCTATGTATACATGCCCATTTGCATGCCACATTTTGTCATTGTCACACGCAAAATAAAAAATAAAAATTAAAAATCGGTCATGAAAAAATTTGGGGAAAAATTAGAAGAAAAAAAGTTATCAATGTCACGAGCAATTTCATCCAAAAAAAATGTCACAAGCAATTAATTACCTTCAAAATGACAAAACTTGTCTATTGAAAATTTGAGCGGATACAGATCAGGCTCCTATACGATTCCGCTTTCATATTACCTCCGTTGAAATTGATTTGCAAAGTCAACTTTTTTGTCAAGCCTTTTAATTTTATTCACTTAATTAGAATATCAATTTTTTATTATATCTATCTATAGATAATACATTTGAGAGATACAATTATGGAAAGTTTTGTCATGTGTCATCTTCTAAGCAAATCTTTAATATTCTAGATTAGAAATTAGAATTGTTATTAGAGTTTGTTATTACTCCGTACTACGTTAGGACGTTAGGATGTATACAAAGCATTCTAGACTTTCATTTTGACAATTACGAAGTATTCTACTATGTAAATTACAAATTAGAATTGTACTCAACTCAGGAATCTTCAACAAAAAAATCTCTATTTTTAAAATTGATATAACTTTTTTATTTGTAATTTGATTTTTATAAAAACAATATCAAAATTCATGATTTTTTATTATCTTTCATATGACACCAAAATTAAATATGTAAAAATAAAAAAGAATTTTGAATATATCATAGATGGAGGTTTTTAGGCTCAATTTTTTAAAAAAAAAAATAGGTCCAAGCTTTAAAATTAACATCTCATGATTTTATAGAGTAATGTCATGTTACAATTAGGGGATAATTTATTTATTGACTGAAAGTGTCAATAAAGACATATTAAGTTCTAAAAAAATATTTAAAAACAACCACTCAAATTGAATCAAATCAGAAAACATAAAGACACTAGCCAGCCAGTAGAAATTAGAATTGTACTCAACTCATGAATCTCCTAGCTACTAAAATAATCTTTTTCTTAAACTGATATAACTTTTTGATATGTAATTTGATTTTTATAAAAAAGTATCAAAATTCATGAATTTTTATTATCTTTCATATGAAACCAATATTACATATGTAAAAATAAAAAGAATTTTGAATATACCAATGATTGAAGTTTTTAGGCTCATTTTTTTAAATAGATCCAAGCTTTAAGATTAAGAGTAATTTCATGCTGCAATTAGGAGAGTAATTTCAGATTAAGAGTAATTTCCTCCACCTACGGTGGTTTGCTGCGGGGGGGGGGGGGGGGGGGGGGGGGAATTAGAAGACAATTTGTTTATTGATTGAAAGTGTCAACAAAGGCATATTAAAAAATAGAGTGGGTTTTTTTGTTTGGGGGCTCCCATGAAATGATTTTCAACATGAAGTCTGCTAGCTTCGCTTGTGAAAAACATCAGATTTTTGGAGAAAGTAAAAAACTCAGTTGGCGGCTGTAGTTAACTAGAGTTAATAGTTTTTTGAGATTTTTTTAAATCAATCTTGATTTTGTAAATATTTTTTTATTTAGCATTATTTTGAGGGAAAAAAGTCGATATTTTTTAACCCGGTACGCTAGCCATTTATTGGTGGAATAAATGTCTGAGAACATTTACCGGGTTTTATTAGATAAAAAAATAAATGTACAAGAGAAGAAGTGGACTAGGCCAAAACCTCTTCCAAGAAGGAATACTTTCTCGAAATACATGAGACAACATAACAAATGAGAAAATAAAAGTATGGGGGACATAAAACCTGACCCATAAAATACAAATGGAAAAATTCCAAAAAGAAAATTAAAGACTAAGAGAAAAACTCGCTAAAATGTTATGAGAAGCACTTTTAGTAAAAGAAAATTAAAAAGGATAAATTTTTCTTACATGGGTTAGCTTTAGTAAATTTAGGGGGCTAATAAAGCAATTCCCTAAGGTAAGAATATGTTTAATACCTCCAAGTGACCATTTTCATACCTATGGGTTAGTTTAATACCTCTAATCAATTCCCTTGAGTTAGAATAGAATTGCCTAGCTTATAGGTATGGTAATCATTTTCTGTTTTTTAAGTTGTACCCATACAACTTTCATGATATCACTATATTTGTAAACTCAAATTTTCATAATTTATCATATGATTCATACTATATATAAGTTTATAATTGAGAGAGCAGGTTTACACGTAAAACTTTGTCGGTAACATATCAATTACATAGACATTGCTCATACTCAATTATTTTAATTAGAAATATAGAATATACTGTCATATTCTAATTCATAGATATATGCATCCTTTATATCAAATACTCTCTCTGTCCCTTAAAATTCTTTCCACTTACCTTTTTGGAACGTCCCAAAAAATTCATCACATTTTCCTTTTTGGAAAGCTTTGTGTGACTAACATTAATTTACCGCTTTCCTACTCAACCACGACTGTTAGAGATATTTTCATTATATTGTGATCAATGTTTCTTAGCTCTTTGTATTTAGCATCTTAATTAAATAGACTAGCTAGAATAATGAATAGGCCTTTTAAGGCAATTTGTAATAAAAGGTTTTATACCTTTTTAGGTATGGGCCTCCTAGAAAAAGGAGCCCAAATGATTGTAAAACCTACCTTTCCCGTCAGGCTATATATATGCCTTAAGGGAAAGGCTAGGTTAAGCTTTTCGACATTCCCTGTGCCGCAGTGCCTATATCGGTGATAGAAGTTTTACGCTAACTTTCATATCATTCTGTAAACTTCTTCATCATTCAATGGAAAGCTTCATTCCCAGATCTACCTTCCATACATATACATTATAGACTAGAAAACAGGGACCTAACATCTGGTATCAGAGCCGGAGCTGATCGATCGATTGAAGGCTGAAAAACACTCCTGCGCGATCCTTCATCGTTGAAGTTTCGCACTTGAGCGATTTTTGGTTCTATTTTTGTTGTTATTTTTGCAGGAAAATGCCTGAAGGAAAGTGTTTCTAGGCTTGCTGGGATCATCTCTGTGAAAAATCTCGATCTGAAAGTTGGCGTACAGGTTAAGCCCGATTTGAGAGATTCTGCAGTTTCGCGCAACACATCTGAAAGAAGAACAGGTTCACGCAAGTCCCCTGCGCGATTTCGAGTATCGCGCAACACTTCTTGCGCGAACTTGAGCTTGCACCATCTTTAGAAGCCTCCTGCGCGATTTGAGAGATAGCGCAACACTCCCTGCAATTTTTTTTTCAGGCTTGCGAGATTCAGCATTTAGCGCAATATCGCCTGCGCGATCCCCATCTTGCGCGTTTCTTGTACTTAGCAAATTTTAGCAAGTTGAGCGATCTCTCAGAGTCTTGAGCGATCTTGTTGAGCGATTTGGAGTTGAGAGATTTTTTTTCTTAAGTTGAGAGATTGTTTGTAAAGTTGAGCGATCATTTATTGAGAGTTGAGCGATCTTTTATAAGAAGTTGAGCGATCTTTTGAGAGTTGAGCGATCTTTTGTAAGAAGTTGAGCGATCTTTTGAGAGTTGAGTGATCTTTTGTAAAAAGTTGAGCGATCCTTCAAAAGTTGAGCGATCTTTCAAAAGTTGAGCGATCCCTCTACAACTTGGAGCAATCTTTCAATACCTTGCGCGATTTTAACCAGTACTGTACAAGAACCTTCTGCCTGAATTACCGAACAACTGAACAGGACCCATTTAATCAACTGATCAGCTCGATCAATTTCAAAATGGATGCACTATCGATTGGAAACGATACAAGACCCCCGATTCTTCGAAGAGGGGAGTATAATGTATGGAAGAACAGATTCTTAAATTTTCTTGAAAGCAAGGACTAATCCTCCGGTCTTCTTGACTCTATCACAAATGGACCTGCTCAATTGATGATAGCTGTTGAGAGAGACAACGGGAACAACCCGCCTGTTGAGATAGAGTGGAGACCAAAGACGGTTGACGAGTATGATGATGAGGACAGAGCAAGACTCCGTGCAGATCTCATTGCCAAGACCTATCTGTTGCAGGCCATCCCGAACGACATCTATATGCAGATTGACAGTATGTCAACTGCAAAAGAGATGTGGGATGAGATCTTTAAGATCGTGCAAGGAACGGAGATAGGAGTGAAGCTGAGAAAGCCAGCACTTTTACAGCATACGACTCGTTCAAAGCCAAGCTTGGAGAATCACTTTAGGACACCTACCTCAGATTCCTGCAGTTGATAAATGAGATGAGAAAGATTGGCGTGCATAAGTCGAACATGGAACTGAACGTGAGATTTCTGTCTTCTCTTGGAGCTGACTGGAAGAAGCTGAGCTCACAGATAAGGCACACAAAGGATCTGGATGAGATGGATATCCATGCAGTGTACAACACACTTGATCAATATGCTGAAGATTTTTCTGACTTTGTGGTTGCCACTGTGACAGCTGATAAAGGGAAGGGAGCTGTGGACAAGCTAGCTGACACCCTTGCCCTAATGCTTGACAAGCCTTCAAAGTCTGGTTCCAAGAAAG